GGGGCTTGGGTTGGCTGGGGGTCTGAGTGGCTTTGGCTAAGTTACAAGGGATTTGAGGGGTCCGAGAGGTGGGGAGGGCTTGGGTGGAGGTCTGCAGTTCTCCGCAAATGCCTGACTCGGGGGGTTTGGGGATCACCAAAGGCGAAACCAAGCCCCGATCACTACTCCAAGATAACTACCTAGACAAAGAATCCCTCCGTAGTCGACCAAGACTGAGTCCTGGTATTGTACAGCAGTACGCTAGCAGTACGGTAGTAGAAAAGCAGTACAGAAATTGTTCAGTAGTACGGTTGTACAGTAGTACAGTAGTAGCACGGTATTACACTAGCACAGTAGTACCGTAATAGTGCAGCAGGTTTAAGGTTTTAGTATTTAGGGTTCAGTTCACGGGGGGTGTAGGGTTTAGGGAGAATTTCGGGCTTCAGGGAAGAAAGTTGTGGGTGCCTTAAGATGGACCATTAGCAGAAAGGAAGCTCACTCAACAAGAAATCGGCCGACCGGAAATCACATTATAGAGACCCACATTTTCATGGTGCCGGCCTAAAATAAGAAAGAATACGCATTATAGCGTCGCACCGGTACAAAGGGGCCCTCACATTACATAAGACATTGTGGCGAATTTTCAGCCGCAACAATGTGGGATTGGTTCTTGGCTAGTGGTCTTGCAGAGGGAGCCTGTTGGTAGATATTTTTGTGAGCTCTTACGTGGATGCATATGTGTGTACATCGCCTTGCAGAGCATACTGTAATTCACTAGGAAGTAATGCCCTAAAGCTTAAAGTCTAAACCCTGAACATTAACGTAATATTAACCCAGTAAACCCCAAACACCCGATCCCGAAATTGCTGGAAGACCCTATCTTCCAATCTGTAAATGAGAAGCTCGCAAGCGGGTCTGCAAATGCTCATATTATTAAAACAGTATACAATAGTATCGTATAGTCTATTCTGCTATATTTCTATATACTCATATATATATATATATATTCCCTCATATGTATATATATATATATATACACACGTCTATTTTCGGACAGTACAGTATGAATCGGTGTACCACGTCGTACTCACAAGAAGCTATTCTGTGAGTTCCCTGCCTGTGAGAGTCTACTACGAGGCTGGCGTGCTCATAAGTTACATACATACTGAGTGCTATGACATGTGCCGATTCCCACGAATCAAGCTCCAAGTCCCTCAAACCCTAAACCCTAAACTCTAAACCCTAGTTTAGGGTTTAGGGTTGAGGGTTTAGGGTTTAGGGTTTTAAGGGTAAGAGCTTGTAAAGCCCACCGCCCAAACGAAGAGCCAAGGAAAGGGCAGATTGGCATTGTGAGCTTGCTCTTGCAAGCGAAGGCGACCCCCGGCCCAGCCGAGTGCAAGGGCTCGTGTGCTGGTGACACCCTGTTGCACCTTGGGTTTAGGATTGGAACGTCTTTTTTGTTGGAAGGTCCACGGGCTGGAGGTTAGTTACGAGTTGAAGGTCGTGAGACGCTGTCAGGTTTAGAGCTTTGGGTTTCGATCTGTTCCGTTTACAGGTAGGAGTGCGAGCAATCTCCATCCTTAGTCTCTCGCAGTTGAGATCAACAGCCCAAGTGAGCCTCAAGCCATCTCTTTCGGCACTGCGCCTGCTAAACCCTAAGCTCTTAAACTTTAAACCTCTTAAGCCCCACCCAAACTGCTTAAACCCTGCACACCGAGGCAAATTGCGGTGAAGACCGGCAATATTGAGATCGTCCACTCTGTGTCTGGGTTCTGGTTAACGAGTTTCATTTCAGTTCTCATAGTAAGAAAATTCGGGAACCCGTTTGTTTACTATAGATCCCTATTCGTTGGTACAGATCCCAAGTATTCGCATCAGATTCCGACTATTTACCAAGAACCCCCCGTTACGGCAACATATCCCTAAACCCTAAACCCTAAACCTTACACCGGTATCATCAACCCAGGTATGTGCGGCGAAGGCAGAACTTAACAAGGCAAGCTCGAACGGCGGTACCGCCTTGTTTGAGGCGGCCTCCAAAGGCAACCCGCGGAGAGCTTTCAGATTCATGTTTTGTTGTTAATATAGGGGGCACAATAATTAGAATACTGTAGGGTTTGGGGCCATAATAATTAGAATAGGGTTTGGGATGATTATACGGAGCCCGCAAAATCCTATTCTACTCCTGAAGGCATTAAGGCGCCTACATTAGACATGTTGTTGTTGTTGTCGATGATTAGTTTTACACGTTTTGCATGACCATAACAATCATGGTTATGCTTATGGTTGCTATTCTTGGGTATGCGTTTGTAGAAATATGAATAGTTGTGCAATCAATCTTCTTCTTGTCATTGGTAGTAAATACTGCCGATTACTGTGACTGCTACTTGTACTGATAGCATAACTTTGAATATGACTGTTGCTATTGCTATTACTATTGCAGTAGTATTTCTATTACGATTACTTCTACTACTTCTACTACTACTACCACCACCACTATTTCGACTAACTGTTACCATGACGACTATTGCGTTTCTATTGCTGTTATGGTTATTAGTGTTGCTACTATCAACGGGAAGATTATGTTATACTTGGTGTTATTGCTAATCTAGTCAAGGGTTATAAACATATTATATATTTGAGTTGGTATATATATATA